GATGGAACACGATCGAACGGATTCCACTCGTGAAAAAGGTCAATTGGTGTACAAACCAATCAAACGTTCTCCAACTCGTGAATGAGACCAATCACTATTGGGTAGAAGCTTGCCACAAATAGATGCATTCTCTAGTTGATAAGAGAGACGTGAAACTCCTGGAGACTCTCGATAGAAGCGTTCACAAAGAAACTCATTCGTATTGAACTCAAAACTTGAAAGTTTATTGATTGAAAAGTTGATGAATTATGGCCCCTATTTATAGACTCCTAACACTAATCCAAAGATTAAAAGGTAAACAAACAAAAGACCAAATCCTACACTTAAAAGGAAACACAAAATCTTAACAAACAAGAAAAGACTAAGTCAGCACACTCCCTTGAATCTAACCTTCAAACTCACCCATGGCCTTGTGCTCACGCCTTGGTTCCTTTCACACCTAGGGCTCCTCTTCTCTTCTTTGGCTGAATCCTCTCCTCCTTCCAAGCCCATTCTTCCTCCATTCTGGTCAACGAGTTGTAGCAATGTAATGGGCTTCCCACGATGTTGATCCACGTCCATTTGAGAAAACAACGATCCAAATAAGCAGCAAACTCTTCCCTTAACCTCTTTGCTTGTAATCGTGTAATTGGACCTTCTTGTGACGATATGGAATTGGTTTTGATGACCTCATCATAGGTTGATGTGGGTTGAATGCAATTTATTGAAGGATTCCATATCTTCTAAATTGTGAGGGATCACTTAAGCGAGCACCTAAGTCAATGATCATGACTCTTAGATGCACTTCTGTTAGACTTTTGATTCAATGATAATGTAACCAATAAATTACTAGAGCACTAAGCCTAGATTCCTAAATTGTATTTAACCCTATGCAAATGAAGCTACAATCCAATGATCTTGTAGTTGGTAACTTCACTCTATTGATGGGTGTTCTAATCTTGACCTAATTGGATGGTTATCATGCTTGGGTCAAGAATAAAGGAATCAATCACGTTTGCTAAAGCAAGAGACTGTCATAATCAAACGTCACATGGATAGAGGAAATAGGTTCACAATCATGCTTACAAACAAACTCATAAACAACATACAAGCTAAAGTTCATCTTCTTAAACAACAAGTGAAGATAAAACATAGACAAGAAAAGAGTGTACAAAGAGGGAGAAGAGCAACAATCAAGGGCTAGATCCTTCTTCTCCTTCTCGATTTGGTCACCCTTATTGAATCTTGGGAGGATTTTGGGGTTATGATGAGAAAGAAATCATTCAAAACCTCTCCAAGTTCGTCTTTCTACATCTTCTCATACTATGTTTTTCTCTCTTTAAGATGCCCCCTTTGTCCTAAAAACAACCCAAAGTACTTATAAACCCATTGGCATATCAAACTTCATGGTCTGGGATTAGAGGGAGTACACAGTCGTGAACTTTGGCAAATACCCATGAACTCTTGAAATCTGTCACTATTGTGGTGGTGAGACTAGCTAGTTCTTCATTTTGACCCTCCGGACCTCAAACTCGCGATCATGAAATTTATCTCACGGTCTGGCTTGTTGTGGTCATAAGGCTGGCTATGAGACCTTTTGTACTCACTGTTGCTCAAGTTCACGGTCGAAATAAGGAGTTCACTGGCATGAACTATATATTGTGAACTTTTCACCCTTCAAATAACTTCCAATTGACACGAAACTTGGTACGTCATTCCTCAACATGCTAGGACCTGATATTAGGAAAGAAAGCACAACCTAGACTACGATAAGATGAGAATGAACAAGTTGGAGGCCAAATGACCAAGAAACATAAAAGTCGTGTTGAATCTTAGGGTATGAATTTTCAAAAAAAATATAGCACAAAATCAATCCAAAATGACCAAAATATGATGATTATGGCATTCAAACATTTAAAAATTGAAAGACAAATAAGTAATAACATCTATTTTAGGTGTTATCACAATTTTAATTTGATTATTCTTTTCACAAATCAAAGGAATAACACAACTTCTACATATAGAACGCACAACAAAATGAATTCAGAAAATACACCAACTTGACTCGGTAAAGTTGTCACGTAACGAGATTTACGTTTTTAACAAAACAAAATTTACTTGTTTCACCATGTCTTACGTGTTTTGCCAAGTGAACCTCCACGGGGAAGAACTTCATGTTATTCTTATCTCATATTTACACTGTAGAGTGAAACGAAGGCAGTTAAAAAAGTTTTGTTTTAGGGAAAAGCATTCCAAAAAGTGAATGGTGATTGTTAATGGATTAGGAAAGTAGGTTGAGTTAGTGATCCATTTGGTTCAATCAAGGAAGGGATAAAATCACCCATTATTAACAGTAAAAAATGTCATGCACCATAGAAAAGGAGTCTTTTGGGCTCTTTCTTTCTCTCGTTTAAATACATTGACTTTGGAATGAGATACCGTGACAACCCCATTAGGGGGTTGTGCCATTTTATAACCATAGGATTCATTCTCTCTCTTGTCTCTTTCTTCTTTTTTTCAAATCAATGATACAGATTGGATTAAGGGTATTTTTGGACAAAAAAAATTGACCACACTAGATAATTACCCTATTAATACCCAAAACCCTACATTCTCTCTTTCCTCTCTCTCTCTCACTCCATCACACTTTCTTCTTCCTATTCTTCGTCTTCTTCCTCTCATCTCTTCCCTCTCTCCATGTGTGCCTGGGTCTGGGGCTGCCTGCAGTGGCAAGTTTTTTGGATGTGCTGGAATTTGGAGCAGCAGAGAGGTGAAGTCCAAGTGGATGTTAGGACTTAGAGGGTCAGGCAGGGCTGGGATTTAAGTGTAAGGATCGGATTTTTCTTAGCTAATTATCATGCAGAGTAAAAAATAAATTGATAGCATGATAATATAAAAATTAATTTTTTGTTATTATCATAAATGCGAAGAAGGCATTAAGAATATTAGAATCGCTCAAATGAATTAAACTAGAATTTTTGTAGCGTGTTTGTTTAAATTTTACATATGGATAAATTTTTTTTTTTGTACCGTGTTTATATATGGATAAATTATTATTAATATTAATAGTACATTTTAATCCAAGGGCTCTCTTTAGGGACCGGATAAAGAATCTAATCACTCTATTTTAACACTAATTACAAGTAGCTATCGAATTTCTCTTAGCAATACATACTATGTTTGACAACAAGAGTGCAAATTTGAGGGGTCCAAGTTGAAGGGTAAAAATTGGTGGGGTGTAAATTAGTGGAGAGTTTAAGTGGAGAGGGAAATTGTTATTTGGATGCAAAAGAGGGAAATAGAGTGAAAAATAAATATATGATATTATTATAAAATATATTATTAAAATTTTAAAATATTATCACAAAATAATAAAATAAAATTATTATATCATGTTAATAAATATACTCCAATAAAAATAATTATTTAAATAGTAATGCTCAAATAATAATTAATTGTAAATGTAACAACTGTAATAATCATTGGTTGAGAAACCTCGAAACTCTATGTTAACTCATAACTGCTCATCAGATAGGGTTCTCGTGCCTAATTTAACTTTAAATTGAATATGGTCAAGCTTAGCCAAACCGTGGTGGGTTTCTCCCACAAGAGCTTCTCTACTGCTTTTTAGATGGATGCAGACAATGGATGCTCAAACGGTTCAGGAACAGGTCCTCCCAAGAGCGGATCCACATCGCTCTTGAGGTACAACTTCAGATGGTGGCCAGACACACGGAGGGTGTGGTCATCAGCGCGGGCTAACTCGACCTCGCCATCTAGTAGGATGCAAGTGAGTGAATACTCGGATGTACAGGGCGGTCGCGACTCAGGGGCTGGAACCAGCTCATAGTGGTCTCCAACTTTCTTTTTGGCAGACTTGGCTGCCCTCAGCTTTGGTCGCCACTCCTCCTTGAACTTCTCTTTTGGTGACTGGGAAAGCTGGAAAGGTGGTGAAGGAGGGGCGTAGAGTCCTGCAAAATGGGAACCACAAAGGATGTATGATTCGGTCCAATTCTACACATTTTATCCCTCATTTCTTGTCTGTTTGACTTGGTAATCATCGTCCCTCGACCTATTTTAAGCTAGGTTGTGCTTGTTTTGCTATATTTCAGGTCCTAGCACGTGTGGGAAGGTCGAGGACGAGTTTTGGGGAGATTGGAGGTCAAAAACTACCAAAAAGTGAAGAAAAGTCCAAAGTCCTGTTACAATTGTTTGAACACCGTGAAGTCTAAGGCAACCAGGAAGTTTTTCCCTCCTCGCGGGCTTACGAGAAATCACGGTCACTCGACCATGACAATTTTCCCCCGACAGTGAAGTCATTCAAGAAACGGCCCAGCCTTCTGCGTTTTTTACCGAGATCACGGTTGGGCCTCCGATGTCACGGTCGTGAAGTGTTGACCGTGAACTTAACTCTCGAGCTGTACAAAAAGACAATTGCGGGAGAGAGAAAGTTGAGCTGGTTTTTGGAGGAGAAATCGATTTTGTCTCGAGGGTTTCAACCCAAAAAAACAAAGGGCAGTTCTAGTGAGACTCCTTGGTCCGTGTTTGCATTCTAACCCTTCTCAAATCATGGTCGTCGGCGTTGCTACCCCGAGGGTTCCCGCCAGTCAGCTTTATTGCGCCTTACGGGTTACTCGCCCGTTGACTCGCACACATGTCAGACTCCTTGGTCCGTGTTTCAAGACGGCCAATGGGGAGCCCGCAGGCCGACGCCATTAGCGCGCAGGTGCCGAAGCACGCCGTGACGGCGCGCTGCATTCCACGATCGCGGGGATCTCCACGAGCGTATCAAAGGCCCGGGCTTGGGCCGCAGCCACAATCCGCGTCGGTCCGCACCCCGAGCCGATCGGCGGACCGGCTTTCACCGTTCCGCATCCGACCGAGGCGCATCGCCGGCCCCCATCCGCTTCCCTCCCGACAATTTCAAGCACTCTTTGACTCTCTTTTCAAAGTCCTTTTCATCTTTCCCTCGCGGTACTTGTTCGCTATCGGTCTCTCGCCCGTATTTAGCCTTGGACGGAATTTACCGCCCGATTTGGGCTGCATTCCCAAACAACCCGACTCGCAGACAGCGCCTCGTGGTGCGACAGGGTCCGGGCACGACGGGGCTCTCACCCTCTCTGGCGCCCCTTTCCAGGGGACTTGGGCCCGGTCCGCCGCTGAGGACGCTTCTCCAGACTACAATTCGAGTGCCGTGGGCGCTCGATTCTCAACCTGGGCATTTCCAGGTTGGCTCGCCGTTACTAAGGGAATCCTGGTAAGTTTCTTTTTCACCTCTTATTGATATGCTTAAGCTCAGCGGGTGTTCCCGCCTGACCTAGGTTCTCATTTTGAAGGTCCATTAATCCCTCAGGGTCTATTGTGGTGCCATCGACCAAGGAGCACACGCATGCGATGTGACTCTATTGTAATTTCAACCACAGCTCGCAACGGCGTCCTCAGCCGACGACTTCATTTTCGGCCCACCGCAAGGCTCGAGTGAGACCCCGGGAGGCCCAACATCCGCTCCCATCCCCGCGTGGGGATGGGACGACGTTGCGTGACACCCAGGCAGACGTGCCCTCAACCGGAAGGCTTCCTGTGCAACTTGCTTTCAAAGACACGATGGTTCACGGGAATCTGCAATTCATACAAGTATCGCATTTCGCTACGTTCTTTATTGATGTGAGAGCCGAGATATCTGTTGTAGAGAGTCATTATAATAACTAGTTGGTGGATAGTCATGCCAAATGCCCCGAGACCGGGCACGAGGCACGACATCGCTCGAGTATTCCTTGACGTATTCTGCGCTGGGGTTGTTAGTTTGTGAGGTGAAGAACGGCCACTAGGACACCCCTCTAGACGAGTTCATCACTAAGATGGGCTAGGAGCCACATCTTGCTCTAACCCTGCCCATGTTTAACAAAGATTTCACTTGTCATTCTGCTTTGCACGTTTCGACAATGATTCTTCCGCAGGTTCACCTATGGAAACCTTGTTACGACATCTCCCTCTAAATGATAAGGTTCAGTGAACTTCTCGCGACGTCACTGGCGGCGAACCGCCCACCTCGCCGCGATCCGAACACTTCACCAGACCATTCAATCAGTAGGAGCAACGGGCGGTGTGTACAAAGGACAGAGATGTATTCAACGCGAGCTAATGACTGACGCTTACTAGGAATTCCTCGTTGAAGACCAACAATTGCAATTATCTATCCCCTTCAAGATGAAATTTCAAAGATTACCCGGGCTTGTCGGCCAAGGCTATAGACTCGTTGAATACATCAGTGTAGCGCGAGCGGCCCAGACACTCTAAGGGAATCACAGACCTGTTATTGCCTCAACCTTCCTTGGCCTAAAAGGCCATAGTCCCTCTAAGAAGCTGGCCACGGAGGGTGCCTCCACATAGCTAGTTAGCAGGCTGAGGCCACGGAGGTGCACACCGAAAGGCGGACCGGCCGACACAACCCTATGTCCAACTATGAGCTTTTTAACTGCAACAACTTAAATATACGCTATTGGAGCTGGAATTACCGCGGCTGCTGGAACCAAACTTGCCTCCAATGGGTACTCGTGAAGGGGTTTAGATTGCACTCATTCCAATTACCAAACTCAAAGAGCCCGATATTGTTATTTATTGTCACTACCTTCCCGTGTCAGGATTGGGTGATTTGCGCATCTGTTGCCTTCCTTGGATGTGGTAGTCGTTTCTCAAGCTCCCTCTTCGTAATCGAACCCTAATTCTACGTTGTCCACCATGAGCCCGAAGAGAGCACACAACGAAAATTAAAGGCCAACTTCAAACTTCCCCTTAATGGGTATGCAACACAGGAACCCGATCATCAACCCTTACCGTGCGCGAGGTAACAATGAAAAGATTTGCAAGAAGACGGTTTGATGCTCGGAGCATGAAGCCCTCCCTCCCTCCTCCCAAACAACTCAACTACCACTCATGTGCATCACGTACAACGCAAAACAATCCCAACAAGATGACCCACTACCAAGCTTAACATATAGCTAAAACTCAACTCGCGAATTCACTTGATGAAGCAACATGCGCACCGCTTAGCACGTAAATTGCCTCCAAAGAGACAATCAAAGAAAGCCACATTCGTCGAGATCAAATATCGATACAGGGTTTACCCTCTATCGAACATTTTCGAACAATCCACATTCATCTTCGAAGAGACAAATTAAAGAAACCCACATTCGTCGAGAGCGAATATCGATACAAAAACGGTTTACCCGCTGTTCGATATTCCATAAAAACATTACGGGCAAAGGTTGGCCGAGAATCTCGGTAGCATTGCTGGCCGAGTGCACTCTGGCCGAGAAATCTCGGCTGTAGCTTGCCAAGTGCACTCGACGGCGCTAGCCGAGAGCACTCGACAAACGCTGGCAAGGAAGTGCACTCGACAGCGCTACGCTGGCCGAAAAGTGCACTCTGCAGTGCTGGCCGAGAGTGCACTCAACAAACACAGGGCGAGAATTCTCGACCGCCTGTGCGATATTTCTCGACCAGCTGCAGAGGCTGGCCGAGTTATTTCGCATGGGTTGGCCGAGTGCACTTGTCGAGTTATTTCCTCAGTCTCCTTTTCTCTCCAATGACGAGGCTAGCTCCCCCCCCCCCCCAGTCATTGGCCTTGGCCACCCATGGCCACAGGGGACACAGATAGGCACCACCCCCTAAAAGAGCTCTTAAAGGTTTTTAGCACACTGTCAAAGGTTGACATGCCAATGTTCGAGGAGTCACACCCTCATAAAATCTTCAATTTAACGAATTTTGACACGGAACTTTGCATGGACGTTAAGGACAGTATTTCTAGGGTCTCCCACCAAGTTTCACGAAATTTTGATGTGTAGATTATTTTCTACGAATTTTTAATTTTTGAAACTTTAACAAATCGTAAAAAAATACAACACAACTCCAAATTTTGTGAATTTTTTTTTGGAAGCACCTTACCATGTTAAAATTGAATGGGACAATAATATTGAGAAAGGCACGACACAAATTTACAAACTCTTCACAAAGGTTATGGGACAATAATATTGAGAAGGCGCATAACAAACAAGATTTAATGTGAGTCTATGTTGAAGTATCCAATATTATGTGTTTGTAAATCACCATGAAACAACTATTGGGATCAATGAATCATGTTTGGACAACTTTTCATGTTATTGCAACGCATAAAAACGACAATTTTTGCCCTCAAATTAGTTTGGGTGAAACGTGCCCGATGAGCATCACTTTGGCCTACATTTCTCGGCCATGTGCACAACTTGGCTGAGAAATCTCGGCCAGCTTGAACGAGAAATGTGCAATCGGCCAGGAAAAATGTGCACTCAGCCAAGAAATCTCGACCAGCTCGGCCGAGTCAAAGTGCTATCGGCCGAGAAATCTTGTCCATGTGCGCACCTCGGCCAGCTTGGCCAAGACATGTGCACTCGGCCGAGAAATCTCGGCCACGTGCACTCGGTCGAGGGAAAGTGCACCTCGGCCGAGAAATCTCGACCACGTGCACTCAGTCGAGGGAAAGTGCTCTGCGACCGAGAAATCTCATCCATGTGCGCACCTTGGCCAGCTTGGCCAAGACATGTGCACTCGGCCACGTGCACTCGGCCGAGAAATCTCAGCCACGTGTGCACCTTGCCAGTGCACTTGGCCGAGGCGAAAGTGCACTCGACCGAGAAATCCCCGCCATGTGCACACCTCGCAATTGCACTTGGCCGAGGCAAAGTGCACTCGGCCGAGAAATCTCGGCCAGGTGCACACCTTGCCAGTGCACTTGGCCAATGCAAAGTGCACTCGGCTGATAAATCTCGGTCTTGAGCGCACCTTGGCCGAGAAAATGTTTTGTAACTTTTGTTCGAGCATCCGATCATGGCTAAACTTTTATGATTTCACACAACTTTTGAGCTCTACGCAGCAATGGCTTGTCGTGGACAGGGTTAGATCTACGAGATGAACATGAAGACAATATTGGCCATGAAGGCATGAGATTTGGATAGACCGGACTTAGGAATAATAGAGGCACAGTGAGTCGGGACTTGGGCATATACGGGACACCGAGTTGATGTATCATCATATTGTTTCCCGTTGACTTGGGACTTGGGCATATTAAGTCGTGGATGGTGGCGTTTAAGCCTCGCTTGATGTTGGGAGGGTTTGAGGATGGGGAGGGACGAATCAGAGCAACATAGGGCTGAATCTTATTGGATCATGGCGGCAAGGCCACTCTGCTTGCTTACAATACCCAGTTGAGTATTTAAGTCAATCTGCAAAGAATTCTATCCGTTGCTCAGTGGGAATAGTACTTCAAGGCGGCACGTCAGACTCATCCGCCTGAGGGCTTGACCTACGACACGTGCCTTTTGGAGCCGGAGGGCTCCTACTGCTGGTCGACAATCGGGCAATGGACGCACGTGTCCCTGCAAACCCGTATTCTGACTTAGAGGCGTTCATTCATAATCTAGCGCACGGTAGCTTCACGCCACTGGCTTTTCAACCAAGCGCGATGACCAATTGTGCGAATCAACGGTTCCTCTTGTACTTTGTTGGATTACTGTCGCGATGCTGTCAACAGTAGGGTAAAACTAACCTGTCTCACGATGGTCTAAACCCAGCTCACATTCCCTATTGGTGGGTGAACAATCCAACACTTGGTGAATTCTGCTTCACAATGATAGGAAGAGCCGACATCGAAGGATCAAAAAGCAACGTCGAGCTTTTACCCTTTTGTGCCGCATAAGATTTCTGTTCTCGTTGAGCTCATCGTAGGACAGCTGCATTATCTTTTAACAGATGTGCTGCCCTAGCCAAACTCCCCACCTGACAATGTCTTCCGCCCGGATCGGCCCCCCCGAACGGCCTTTGCTCCAAAAGGAGGGGCATCTCCCCACCTTCGATTCACGGAATAAGTAAAATAACGTTAAAAGTAGTGGTATTTCACTTGTGTCGAATATCCCACTCATTCTACACCTCTCAAGTCATTTCACAAAGTCGGACTAGAGTAAAGCTCAACAAGATCTTCTTTCCCCGCTGATTTCACCAAGCTCGTTCTCTTGGCTGTGGTTTCGCTGGATAGTAGATATGGACAGTGGGAATCTCGTTAATCCACTCATGCACATCACTAATTAGATGATGAGGCATTTGGCTACCTTAAGAGATTCATAGTTACTCCTGCCATTTACCTGCTGGAAGAAGGAACAAGCCGGCCGGTGCACAGTGAAAGGCGGACCGGTCGACCCAACCCAAGGTCCAACTATGAGCTTTTTAACTACAACAACTTACGCTATTGGAGCTGGAATTACCTCGACTGCTAGCACCTGACTTGCCCTCCAATGGGTACTCGTTAAGGGGTTTAGATTGTACTCATTCCAATTACCAGACTCAAAGAGCCCGATATTGTTTTTATTGTCACTACCTCCCCATGTCAGGATTGGGTAATTTGCACGCCTGCTGCCTTCCTTGGATGTGGTAGCCGTTTCTCAGAATCCCTCTCCAGAATCAAACCCTAACTCTCTGTCACCCGTCACCACCATGGTAGGCCTCTATCCTACCATCGAAAGTCGATAGGGCAGAAATTTGAATGGTGCATCGCCGGCACGAAGGCCGTGCGATCCGTCGAGTTATCATGAATAATCAAAATTACGGGCAGAGCCCGCGTTGAACTTTTATACAATAAATGCACCCCTTCCAGAAGTCGGAGTTTGTTGCACGTATTAGCT